GGCTTTCCGGGTCTAGGGTCACCGGCGTCAGACGCTACGAGGGGGTTGTCCAAGGGTGATGGCAGGCTCAGGGAGCTAGAGGGGGTGAAGGGTCACGGGGCATTCGCATGGGGAGGAGGGCCTACTCCGCCACGAAGAGGACGTGTCGGAGGGGGGTCCCTCTCGTTCCCCCCGCCGGCCTGGCCGGTCCCTGTCCCGTTTCCGCCCGGTGATTAGACTGGCCCCCGTGCAAGAACGCCCCCCCCCCCCTCCACCCCCCCCTCCCGCCGACCCCCCGCCCCTGCCCACCCGCCGCCCGCCCGCCTCTCGCTGCAGACAACGCGGGCGTGATTGTCAACGTCAAGGGCGACCTCAAGGGGTCGGCCATCTCGGGCCCGGTTGCCAAGGAGTGCGCCGACCTGTGGCCCCGCATCGCCTCGGCCGCCGGCACCGTGCTGTAAATCGAACCCGAGAGGGATACGGGGGCGGTGCATGCCTCCGCGCACGCCCCGCTCTTTGGCTTTGCGCCGAGGCGCAGCGATGGTTGCGGAGGAGGGGGAGGAGGCCACGCCCCCTGTGTGACTATCTGTAAAAAAAGCCTGTTGTCCTCCGGGCGGGGCAAACCGTGACGTGGGGCCCTTTTCCTGGCGCCGCTACGGGTGCCTGGCGCACGCGGCATGCGGCGCGGCGACGCTGCACGCTCGTGCTCTCGGGCCTCGGAGTCGGACGCGCTGCTTACGTTTGCGCCGACGCCGTGTTCAGGTTCACAGCCGGCGAGGCGATGCAGACCTCTCGCCCGATCTCCGCGTCGGGCGAGGACGACGACGAGGACACCGGCTCCGAGGAGTATTCCGACGACAGGGCGTCCGACCGCTAGCTGGCTTCAACCATATCTTACCCTTTCTGCCCCCCCCTCCTCCGACCCCCCAGGCTAGATGGAGTAGTCAGATGTAGATTCTGCCCCACACAGCCCCTTACCCCTTCACCCTCGCCTCGCTGCTTGGTGGTTTCTGAACACGTAGTCGTCCACGCTGTGGGGGTTGTGTGTGGGTCCTGTGTCTGGGAGGGAGGGAGTGGGGTGCAGGTTGCTCACCCACGGCACCGGGCCGGTGCTTGCACTTTGAATGCCGTGGGGCTCCTGCCCGTGTCCGGGCGTGGAGATGCGAGGGTCGCCCCCCCTTGCCCCACCACTTTGTGTGTGTGGAGACGTTTACCTTACCTTACCTTACCTTTGCGTGAGAAGCCCACAAATGCCAAGAGAAAGCGCCGCTCCCCCGGGCCCGGCGCTGCCGGTGCGCGGTGTCGGCGCGCCCCGCCGTGTCAGACACCCCGTGTCCCTGATTTTGACATTTGAGGCAATGACCTCCTATGCAGGATGTTGCAAAAGCGAGGCCGAGGGGGAGGCGGAGGCGGGAGGGGGCGCGCAGCGCGGCGCGGAGTAGCGGCGGATGAGACGGGCACCAAAGGCGATCTATCTGGGCACCAAAGGCGATCTCTCTCGCCTTTCTATCATAGGATCGACGCACTAGTGGGGGGCTCCTATTTGGTGCTCCCCTCCGGATCCTCCCTCGCTGTCGGGGACTATTCATCTGTGTGTATGTGGGTAGGAAGGTGAAGAACAGCCAGGATCGGACACCAACGCGGTATGGGTGGACGCTGGACAGATGATGACGGCACGCTATTCATCTGACCAGTGGGTGGTCACCCCACCCATTTCAGGCCAAAACCCGGGGGCAATATCCGGAAATGGTCCATTCTCGGGCTGCTCTTGGCTGGCTGCTCTTCCCTGGCACAGCCATTGCTGCGCTCGGTCGACCTCCCTTGCGGGATGCATCTGCGCTGCCGCAGCCGAGCCCGTGGCGAGACGCTCCCGCGCTCGGCTCGCTGTCGCGGCGAAACATTCTCGCGATCGGCGGTGCGGCCGCATCGCTGGCGCTGGCGCCGCGGCCGGCGCAGGCGAGCTTCGGCTCGGCGCGGGGAGCAGTCACGTCGCCGCCCGTGCTGGGCTCCATCGAGCTCGAGAAGCTGCAGGACCTCACCCCCAAGAAGCGGAAGCAGATTGAGTCGGTGCTGACGCCGCGGCAGGCAGAGGCGCTCAGGCTGCAGATCGAGGCGGAGCGGGCGGGGCTGCTGCAGCAGTACGAGCAGGAGAAGCGGCGAGGGCAGCAGCGCGTCGAGGCGCAGCGCGTCGTCAAGCAGCAGATCGACGCCACCAGCGCCGACATCGTCACGCTCGAGCAGCGGATCAGAGACCTCGAGGAGCAGCAAACCTCTCTCGGGGGGTCCCGCGCGCGGGTGGAGCTGCCGGAGGCGCCGGCGCGCAACCTGACCTCGCTCTCCGCGCGCTCCCGCATCAACCTCGAGCGGCCCGGCGCCGGCGCGAAGCCCGTCGAGCAGACAGCGGGCGAGGCGCTCGCAGAGCAGTTTGAGGCGCCAGCACAGCAGCCTCTGTGGCCGCACCTCTCACGCACGCACACCTCTCTCGATCCTCAAGTCGACGGCCAATTCGCACGCGGGAGGCGCGGGCCCTTCCCCGACCCACGCCCCCGCCTCCCACAGGCGCAGCTCGCGCAGCTCAAGCGGTCCGTCGATGACCGGCAGCGAAAGGCGCGAGAGACGGGACACGGCCGCCACCCCACCGCGCCTCCGGACTTCTCCCGGGGAGGCTTGCCGTAGGCGCGCGAGCTGGAGGAGGCGCTGGCGCGCGACAAGGAGGGGCTGGAGGCGCGGGCCCCTCGCCCTGCCTCGCTCACCTCTCCAGCGCCGCCCTCCCTCTCTCCCCCTCTCCCTCCCTCCGCTCCCGCTCTCTTGCTCTCTGACGCCCGCTCGCCGCCTCTCGCTCTCTCCGCCCGTCCGCCCGTCCGTCCCTCGTCTCCACCTCCCGCCCCCCCCCCTCTCTCACAGGCGCGCATCAAACGCGGGGAGGAGAGCACCGAGTTCCTCCGCCGCGAGCTGGAAGGGCAGGCGAGGATCACGCAGGACATCGAGGCGCGGGAGCGCTTCCTTGCCAGGCTAAACGCGCAGCCGGTGCGTGGGATACCTCAGAGGTCACCACTCATTATTCACTTCCGGATCCTGCCGTCACGCCGCCGAGATGCAGACGACATGCCGCCGAGATAGAGCCGAGCCGCCGCCCAGCCCCAGCTGAGCTGCAGCCGAGATCGAGCCGAGCCGCCGCCCAGCAGCCGAGATGGAGCCGAGATGAGCCGAGAGGAGCCGAGGTGTCTTTGCGGCTCACCGGTCGGTGCCGACACGCGGTGTGCGGCTGCTAGGCGTGGTTCAACTACGTGGCCGCCTTTGGAGCCTCCTGCGTCTCGACCTCGATCATGCACCCACTCGACACGCTCCGTACGCGGGAGATTGCGGCGGCGGCAGCTGCGGCGGCGGCAAGCAGCGGCGGCAGCAGCGGCGGCGGCGGCAGTGGCGGCGATGGCGGCGGCGGCGGCGGCGGCGGCGGCGGCGGCGGCCTGGAGCGGGCGCGGCGGTCGGCCAGCGAGGGCGGCAGTGGAGGCGGGATACAGATGAGTGCGAGCAGCGCCGCGCCCACGCCCGCCCCCTCGCACGGTGGCGGCGCGTCCGGGTCGGAGGCGGCGGCGTTTGGGGGAGGCGCGGCGGAGGCGGAACCAGCGGCGGTGTGTGGGGACGCCGCGGAGGGGGCGGCGGAGGCGGTGGCGGAGGTGCACTTGGCGGCGGGATCGGCGGAGGCGGCGGGCCTGGCAGAGGGCTTCACCGCTGATCCGGCGGGGATGCTCGCGACTGACGACGCCGTCGCGGCAGCGGCGGCGGCGGCGGCGGCGGCGGCGGCGGCGCACGTGGCGGCGGCGGCGGGTGCGGAGGCGGGGAGGAGGTTAGAGGAGGCGGGGAGGAGGTTAGAGGCAGCGGCGGCAGCGGTGGAGGCCGAGGCGGCCGAGGCGGCGGCGGCGCGGGCGGCACGGGCTGGGGCGGCAGACGCAGCGGTAGCGGCAGCGTCAAGAGGGTCCGGCTCCGGCGAGTAGCCGGCGGGGGGCGAGGAGCGGCCGTCACGCAGTGCCGGCGCGAAGTCGCTGCCGGGGGCCACCCTCACGAGCGGCGCCCCCCCCGACGCTGGCGCGTGGAGTCTGGAGGGCCTCGCCGACTTGTACACCGGCCTTAGCGGCGCGCTCTTCAAGGAGGGGCCCCCGTCTGCTGTCTACCTCGGCGCGCGCCATG